GGGGGGGGGGAGGGGGGTTATACATTTTAAATAAGTAAGAGTAGTATATAGAATAAATACTTGAAACGTTAAAAACCAAGGGGTGGTCTGGGTCCTCAGGATTGGACCGGGTTCAGTCCGAACCTGAGTTCCTCTAAATCCGGAAGTAAACTTCTTCCACTGCCACCGAATCAGCTGTGGCCAGGGAATTTCCCACCGGCAGCTCCACATAAGCAAAGGGGTGAGATGCAATGACGTCATTGACCTTATATGGCTACAGGCCTATATTAGGTAAATTATATTAGCACAAGCATCCCGCCCCTTTGTTTATAGTCATCTGCGGGGTGGGGAGTGAACCGTCCCACTACCCTCTTCCAAAGCATCTGCTCTGTTTTAAGTGTTAACATTAGAGATTACATACTGGAAGGCTGCCAAGTCCCCGCTGGGAGGGAGGAGCAGGGTGAGCTGAGCTACCAAGATGTAACAAATATCATTTGACACATACAGTGCTCATTTGTATAAAGAAGTGTTTGCATAAGTGTTGTGTTCTCTTCCTTTTTTATAAGATTGTAACTGGAGTAAAGTATATTATCGAAGTAGACATCGGTCGCACTGAATGTAGAAAACCAACAGCTAATCCTGAAGACTGTGCTTTTCATACAGATCCCTACGTTTCTAAGGTATTGTAGAACTTTGCACAGTGAAATATATCTTTAAACTAGCAAAACATATTGTTTTAAGGGTCAAAATCTAGAAATAAATATGTATTTCTATATTGAATTGATATGTTCTTTCCCACTTGTAATAACTATATCGATCTAGAAGTTTGTAAACGTATTGAAGATGCCCATGGGCTGTACTTCCTCAATGCACTGACACAATCTGAACCTTCCTTGTGCCACAGCTCTCACAGATCAATCAATGATGGATTCACGCTAAGGATTAGCTAATCTTCGTAAATAGCCGCTGTGCTATGAGTGCGTGATAACACCCCACAATAAACCATATAACATTTTGCACTGCACTACTTATTAATGACAAACCAATAAGTGTAAACACATATATGGCTACATTTCTTTTTTCAACCTACCCAGAAAGAACTGATATATTACTCCCAATACATATAACCAGGCTTTGCAGTCATGTGACCAAAATACAAAACTACAAGAAAAGGTGCTAAATGGTTCTGTTTTAAATAGATGAACGTGATTATGGCATAAGAAAACTATTTCCTGTGCTGCCACATGATTTACCCTATGTGCGTTCATATATATGCTTACATTTCGGACGATTCCTCCCACAATTTGAGCTGTGGGTGGCCCTGTCTGCACCACTTGGCTCAACAATCAATCAATTTCCCAAGTTTTTTTTATCAAATCAAGTTTTTCAATTAACTTTTGTAAAAGGAACCGGGTGGAAAATTGCCAGCTGAAGATTGTGTATGCATCCAATCAATTAAGTCACTGTTGGGGGTATTCAGCAGGAATACAATACAGTAGCTGGCAGGGGAGATTAGTTCATCAATGCTGTTTAGTGTGGCTGGGACAATCAATTGATTTCTTTTTTCTAAAGATGCTTAGAGCATCCAATTACATTTCTCAAAGTAGTATTAAATTATCAAACTTTTTTTCAATAGTGAATCCAGTTGAAACAAATATACATTGCCCAGCAAAGTATTACATTTTTGCCCAAACACTTACAGTCATCATGTTTCCAAACAGTTGGCTCCAGCTCTCTCAGCTTGGCTTCCCTGAATTTCCTGTCCACTAAAAGATCACAAGGGGCATAGCAGCTTCCCATCTACTAACATGGAGCCAGGGGGACGGGAGTGTCTTGCCTTGCTGTGCCTGTGTGTTTGTGGAGACACACACAGCTTACTAGCACACACACGGGTGGCTCTATAGCACCCTGCAAGGGAACCTGAGCCACCCTAAATCAGGATATCAGGACCAGTGCTTAGGGGACCAACTTTTCCACAGCACTGAAAACTGAGAAATGGCCTGGAAAGGAAGGGAGTTTGTCACACTGGTCCTGGAATGGTCACAGCACAGCTCCTCTTTTAGCCTGTGCAGCAATAATGAGGGATGATGCAGACATCTCAACTCTCCTGGACGTTGCAGGAGTCTTTCACTCCCAGGGCAGATGACCGAGTAAAAAAAAAAAGGCATGGAAATGAATAGCTAGATTGCTACTGGCTATTGCACCCGCCTTCTTCTCCTGTCAGTCAGCAGAGGTGTGTAACGCCTGCTTAGCTGGGGTTATGTTTTCAGGATCTCAGCGGCGGAGTTAGGAGGATCTAACGTAGGTTATGGGGTGGAATGGCAATTCAGTCTTGGACCTCTGGCGTCTCTCACAACTAACGGTGAGTTAGAGGTCCTCACATCATAGGCCGTTCATTCATATAAGCGTCACAGTAGTGGCTATTACGTCATAGACCACTCTGTGAATGAGGCATGAAATAATATAAGTGGAGAAGAACTGATTATGTAGCGGTAGCGTAATAGATAATAAGGTAGTCCTTTATCAGTTCCTACAACCTCCCTAGTCCCAGGTACAAGCAAGGAGCGGAATGCACAGCGTTTGAAATCTATAATACCTTGATACAGTCTCTCCCGTATGGGGACACGTCACTAGAGGACTGCAGGGATAACTGCAGAGTACTTGCGGTTTTGCCGGTATGGAGGCACTGGTGGGAATCCTGTCTGCAGGCTGGCGTGGTGTGGCGATGTCCTGGGGTAGACAGGTGTCCGGGCTGTAGGATGTTGTCCAGGTGTGAACAGGTCCAGAGGTAAGCTGGTCTCCACAGGCAGGACAAGGTGTTGGGGTAGAATGGGGTCGAGGCAACTCCAGAATGCAGGTTCGGGTATGGGGTTAGCAGGGCGTTCGATCCGCAATATTGGAACGCCCTACTAACCCGGCGACGGAGTTTAAATAGCCCGTGGACGCGGGAAACCAAGGAGCGGTGTCACGCCTCTTCCGCGTTCCAGGGTGGAGCGCTGGAACGTCTCAGTGAGGGGGCGTGACTGCGGCGAACCTCTTCCTGGTGCGTTCCACTGTGGAACGCACTCTCACCGGCCGACGTCCCCGGAACTCCTTACAAGGTGGACCTGAAGTTCTCCATCAGGTCCTCCTCTGCTGATTGACAGCAGCAGTGGGCGGGTGCAATAGCCAGCCTTCAATTGGCTATTGCAAATTGCAATAGCCAATAACAATCTAGCTATTCATTTTCACTATATTGCACACCACACTATCTTTTTCTTTTTTACTTCCACCGCTCCAAGCTTGCTCCTGTGATGGACTACAACCTCAATACAAACTAGTAGTCCTATCACTGGAGCTATTTTTTAAACTTTATTTTATTGTTTATCCGATTAACCGATTAATCGAACTTAATAATCGGCTAACTAATCGATTTTGAAAATAATCGTTAGCTGCAGCTCTACATTTCATACTGTCTGTTGTTTTTTTTTTACTCTGATGGCAGCAGCTTCCCTGCTATCTGCCATCATTTCAGGGAGGTGCCCTGGGGGGCGGGGAGAGGGCACCTCCCTAAAATAAATTATTTCAGGTTGGGATGCCTGGATGATGTGTCCTGCATAGTGCCAGTTGTCTAGTGGTTAAGGTCCAGCTCTAACAACTTGCTCTCCTTTTCACAGCAGCTCTGGTTATATACTGATGGTTCTATTGCTGTTACAGCCTGAAAGCAAAGAAATCCTGAAATCCATTGCATGCCTTGAAAATTAAACAACACTCACTGAGGTTCTACATATATCATTCATGTTCATAAAATCCACACATACACATTCTGACTAGATTTTAATAGCTGTATAGTGTTTGAAGCTGAACTCCAGGCAAACAGCTAACTACACACTTATAATACTTTGATGGAAGCTGTTGTACCGGTCAAAAGATTCAGATTTCCATACAGTCCTGCGATTTACAGAGCCCTGACAGATAAAAAAGCCAAGCTGGTAACTTCAATTTTCTCTGCTGCAGTTACAGTAAGTAACATTGCTAGGCCACCTCCTTACCCCCAGCTTTTGATGGGAAGGTGAAGGAGTAGCAAAAGCCTGATAAAGTCATCTCTTTTTTCCTGTTAGCACATGCTCATATCAGAGAGCCTGATTGTTTAGTTCCATTCTAAGGCCTCTTTCACACGGGCTGATCAAGAAGGGATCCCTGCATGGATTCCCCCTTGATTGGAGCAGTATTGGCCAGCGGTGACAACCGTGTCCGTCCAGTTTTTTTCCTCCATCTGAAATTGACCAACCCCATGTCGATCTATGGAGAATCGGATGTAAACGGACACGTGTCCATTAGCATCAGTTTACCCTTGATCTGGCACGATCATGTCCGGCGAAACAGTACTGTGATCTGTTTGTTTTTCTGCACCTGGCCGGAGTTTGGGGTAACTGGGTGTAAACGGTCAGGACATAGACTAGCATTGGGCGTCCGATCGGGTCCACTTGCAAAACTGACAGGCGGACAAAATCGGACCGCCCATCTGAAGGGGGCCTAAGTGCTGCTGTATTCATATTTGTACTTAAACTACAATTTAATGATTTTAATCAATACATAACTACATTCATTGATGTGTTTTTTTTTAGTATCTGCCTGGGGTTCAGCTTTAAAATTTATGTAAATCTTGTCAGCTCAGAACTTCCTGTGCTGCCCTCTTATCAGTTACCATTGTTGCCAGCTATCTCTGTGGATTACAGATCACCTCCCCCTATGTTATGGAGCTGAGGAGAGGGGGAGATGTTCTTTAGTCCTAATTCGCTTTCTGTCGTAGGGTGGCAATGTTGTGCAATGAGTGCAGTTAGTGAGTGTTGTCACCCTAGGACAGGAAATGTGTTACTGGTAGGATCTCTGGCAAAAAAAAAAGGAAGCCTGAAAAGGGGAAATATTTAGGCCCCATTCACACAAATCGGCCTGCACGTACAGCTCCGTGCTGCGTTTGGGGCCGTACCAAGTAGCTGCCGGGAAGGACAGGTGCAGCGTGTGATTAGAACGCAGCCCCCGTCCTTCTGTATGGGGCTACGCGGCCGTACGCCCTCCTACGCTCACCTCATTTGCAGGTCCGTAGGGGTGCGGGTGATCGTATTCATACGCCGCCGGAATGCATCCTGTATGCGTCCCGGCCAGAAAACCCGCACCCCTACGGACCTGCAAATGAGGTGAGCATAGGGGGGTGTACGGCCGCGTAGCCACATAGAGAAGGACGGGGGCTGCGTTCTAATCACACGCAGCACCTGTCCTTCCCGGCAGCTACTTGGTACGGCCCCGCACGCAGCACGGAGCTGTACGTGCAGGCCGATTCGTGTGTGAATGGGGCCTTACACTGTTATCTGGGGCGGCTAATTTGCTGCATTCAGATGCATCCCTGGACACATCTGCACTCTGTGCTATGGCTGCATGCAAACTGGCCAATTGGCTGCAGGCAGTTTGTGCGCGGTCAGAAACTCTTCAGAAATGCCTTCCCTGGACACACACTGTCTTCGTCCATGGTCAGTCAAAGGCTCTCTTTGCATGTAACCACTCAGATAAGCAGTTACATGCAAACGATAGCGACCATGACCATTGATTTTTACAGGGTACAAATCTGACAGATGCTGCTGTTTGCACAGTGGGTGCATTTAACAGTAGCTCCTTGTAATCCTTGCTGGCAGCTGTCCCTTGT